TCAGACCCTGTCAAATATATCTCGCCTGAGTAACATTTTTTCTAAAACTGCTTATGATTGCGTCTGGGAAAAGAATATTTACGACTTAAAAAATCGATTTCCATTTTGACAATTGGAAAAATTAAATTATATTAAAAATTTTCTATTATACTAAAACAAATTCCACATTGACATTGACAATGATTTATTCACAAGGGCAAAAATCTATTTTTAAAAAGTTTAAAAAAAAAAATCCACTATCATTAATTTTTTATTGAAGAGAAAAACCAATTTAGATTTTGTAACAAGGATGGAAAAAAAGGTAGAAAATCAGTGGACATGCGGCATCCGGTGCTCTCGCTTTAGTTGCTTTAGTGTTCTTCTTTGAAAATGTAACGTTCGTTTGAAACTTTTCGCTTCATGAAAATTCATTACAAGTAAATGAGAAGATACTCTTGGATGGATGAATATTACAATGAGCTGTTTCATATACTTTTTGAAAAAATAATTACTAATAGTAAAAGTTTTCAACTTTAAGTGATTTTTCCTAGGACAATTAAATTCCGCCTGAATTTGTTACTTATTTTTTATTATTATTAAAATCACAAATAATTTGATATTAAATTTCTGTTTGATGATTTGGAATTTTGATTTTTAAATAAAACAGAACTCATTTAAAGAACAAAAAAAGTTTTAGTTTGACGATCTGAAGAAGGTAGAGAAAAACTGTAGTTCAGCTAAGTTGTGTTGAGATCTTATCGAAACAATAAATCTCAGGAAAGACCAATTCACTCTTGCTCTAATGTAACATTAGTTCTGAGCCACATATACTGGTCATGAATAAAGCTATGGTATTTAGCAGATTAAATTTGTGCGGCGTGCAAGCTCAGCAGCAAGTCTAAATCAACCACTAACATCCTGCAAGCATTGTTGAGAAAATGATTCTATACTTCAGCATTTTATGAAAGTAACAAAAAAAATGAATTTAAAAAATTTTACAGATTATTCCACTTATGAATGTCCAAAGTCCAAATTATAATTTTTTTCCCGTATAATAATATATAATTATAATTCATTACAAGCCTTAATTAATTAAACAACTTTCAATGAACAAAATGTATGCAATATATATATATATATATATATATATATATAATTGTTTAAAGCAAATAATGAAAAGAGAATGTACAATAGTGTACACAAATGACATCTTTTATTGGATGAGAGTAAGTAATTTTCTGCCTCATGGAAATTGTGATGCGGAAATTTAACGCAAATATTCACTTTCAATTTAAAATGCAATTTCTACGGGTAAATTTCATGTCAATGGGTTTAAAATCATATGGATTCTTACATTTCTTTTGCTGTTTAAATAGGTCCTAAAAATTATATATTTCAATAATTCAAACTTAAGTAGTACTAACCGATTTAAATCAGACATTACTATTATGTAGAAATTATATTTATTTCATTATATTTACGAACTTTGGTTCCTAGAACTATGATTCTTGGAACTATGATTCTTGGAACTATGATTCTTGGAACTATGATTCTTGGAACTATGATTCTTGGAACTATGATTCTTTGAACTATGATTCTTGGAACTATGATTCTTGGAACTATGATTCTTGGAACTATGATTCTTGGAACTATGATTCTTGGAACTATGATTCTTGGAACTATGATTCTTGGAACTATGATTCTTGGAACTATGATTCTTGGATCTATGATTCTTGGAACTATGATTCTTGGAACTATGATCCTTGGACCTATGATCCTTGGACCTATTATACTTGGAACTATTATGCTTGGAACTATTATACTTGGAACTATTATACTCGGAACTATGATACTTGGAACTATGATACTTGGAACTATGATCCTTGGAACTATGATCCTTGAAACTATGATCCTTGGAACTATGATCCTTGGAACTATTATTCTTGGAACTATGATACTTGGAACTATGATATTTGGAACAATGATCCTTGGAACTATTATTCTTGGAATTATGATACTTGGAACTATTATTCTTGGAATTAAATAACTTGGAACTATGATATTTGGAACTATGATCCTTGGAACTAGGATTCTTGGAATTATGATACTTGGAACTATTATTCTTGGAATTATGATACTTGGAACTATGATATTTGGAACTATGATCCTTGGAACTAGGATTCTTGGAACTATGATACTTGGAACTATGATCCTTGGAACTATTGAAAAATGCTGTTTTTTTTTATAAATGAATAAAAGAAAAAAATTACTACATATACAGTAGTGTAAAAAAAGAAATTTCACGAAATACTAAATTCTTTAAAGTAAAGAAATAAAATCACTTTGAAAATAAGTTTTTTTAAGACAATTTTGATCCCAACTATACGTTAAGAGAATTTTTACCCTTGTATATTGTAAAATAAATTTGTGCTCTATCTCCATGAGACTGTACACGAGAGGCAATAAAGAAAGTAGTCTTGCATTGGCAATTTCTTCACGGCAATCTACAAGATAATGGATTTCTATCAGAATTTGATGGCGTTGAGATCGACGTGGGTATTCGTCTATAGTTTAGTCGCGGTTGAGTGCATTTCCATGTACTCAACTCCCTTTCAAATGATCGACCATACCCTTTCCGACATCTCCAGCAACTCCTACGAACTATTCGCTCCCATCTACTTCTCTATATCGTTTCTCCAAGACTCTTCGACTCATTGATCAAACAGTATCTGTTTATCCCTCTATATACCTTTTTTCGATTTAACTTCAATTTTCAAAGCATTTATCCTATAATACAATTTTATTTTTATCTTCTATTTTTGTAAATATTTTTGTTTTCAAAAAAAAATTTATTTATTTATTTCGTGAGGTTTTTTTTTTTTTCTTCTTCTTTTTATTATAACCTCATCATTACTATCCGTAAATGCCACAGAAACTAAAGCCCTTAAGTCTACTTCAGAACGTAAACCGCAATGCCAATGTACTTTCAAGTGGGTTATCGTGATAATTACGGTTGCTGCCACAAGCACGCGCGATTGTGAATAATTAGGGGCGTCGTTCTTGAGGTGAATTTATAGATTCGCTGCTTCCTTAAAGAAGATAAAATACGTTTCCTTACTGGCGTTTTTAAATTTAAGAAAGGGCAAAAGATTATCGAGAAAAAAAAACTAGAACAATTTATCAATTATTTGATATATTTTACAATCACATAAATTGCATTTTCATTGAGTATTTAATCTGGTAATACCTCACAATCCCCTGAAAGTCCACGTGACTGAAATATATATCATTTCACAAAATTTATATATGAAACTCTTCGGTAGTAGACTTTATGCTTGACAGTATTTTGATTGAACAAAATTTTCTGTACACCCTCATGAAAATGTATGACATGAAAAAAAGGACACTACTGTCATAATTTTTATGTCATTTTTTTTTCTCGACCACAGGAAATGTAAACATAAATTTAGTAAAAACAAAAAATGAATATATCGAGAAAAAAAAATTAGTAAAAGTATTAAAAAAAAAATATTTAAAAATGTGTTGAACCGAGAGTAAATATGTGCTCTGAATTTATCACTGAAATACCAATGTATGCCATTTCATTGCTTATAAGAAGCGTCGTGACAAAAATGGTATGCGACGGAAGTCTTCAGAACGATAAACCTCATTTCCAATTCTTTTGCAAGCCTCATGTTACACATCTTCTTAGATGTGTATACGTATACTTTTATAGTATATGTATTCTCAAACATGTAAATGTACATCGTCACCACTGTGTGTTGTATTTTCTCATTCTTCAAAGGCATAACAGAATACTACTTGATGCAAATATTAAAATTCTAAAAGAATTTTTCAAGAGTTTTTTTTTTTTTTTTGAAAAAGTGTAATTGATTTTTAAAATACATTCCTGAAATTTGCTTTAAACGGAAAATTGTTATAAAATAACAGTAACATTAATAAAAAAAAAAAAAAAACATTTACAAAATATTTTACACCTTTTTACGAATATAACTCTGCATATTAGTTATTTTATATATAAACTTTAAACTAATGCCTTTACTTTATGAATAATGTAAAATATACGTGAGGAAACAATGTGTGAGAAAAAGCCATCGGAATTACAAAAATGTCACATTCTATAAATCAGAAAATTTCATTTGTATATTATACTGTTCATGTAACTAGCGAGCAACATATGTAATTAACTAGTGAGTGAATTTAGCTATTTATAGGGATTATCATTGTGTTTCATTGCATAAATACAGAAAATTACCTCTCATTTTGAAATCAGAGCATATATATTTTGAATTTAAATTATTTATTGAGTCACACAAATGTTATACGATATTTTCGAGATGCAATATTTATATGATTTGTTATTTTAATGACAATTTTAATTAGGCGACAATAAACTTGAAAACAATACAAATTAATTATCCATACTCTAAATAATATAATAGTTTTTCAGATCAATATTATTCTACAGATTTAAATATGAGACGAATTTATTAAATATACTTTTTGGCTCTTAAGGAATATTATTTGAAACTTATCATAAAATAAAGTAGATTAAATCTATTATAATATTTGACATTATCTGTAAAATAGCAAATTTTAGATTTAATCTAGACATTGGAAATTTAACTGTAAGTTAGAATTAGATAATACAGATATCCGTTTCTAGCAATAAAATTTCTTTAGTAGTAGATAAAGAGTAGAATTCTCCCTTAAATAGAATTAACACTATTTTAACGAACGTAAATATAAGACAAATTTTACATTCATGACTGTTTTTAGAAATTTTACAGAAACCTTTGTAAGCTATAGAATTACTTTGCAGATCCGTACCACCCCTAAAATTACAATGCATTGTCCGTGACAGCTGCATTAACGAGCGGAATGCCATTTCCAACTTTTCATGTCTAATACATACCATTTTGAATTGCTTTTTCAGCCTTCTACATTTTCATAATGAGTAAAATTTATCTAACAGTTATATTTCTTTTTTATTGTTTCAGAATCTCAAAAATCAAATCATGACGACGAATCTCTGGGTTGAGCAGGTGAGTCAAATTATTCAACAATTTAATAAAAGATACTACTATAATTTTAAATTCAGATACTTTTTTCTATTCCTAAAATACGTACATTAAATTATCAGTTGCTTTTTTTATAAGAGTACCATTAATTTGCCATTTCTGATTAAATATACAATTAGAAGCTACTTGTTAATAAATACACTCTCAATCCAGTTGTGCACTTGAGAGCAATAGGAAATGGTAGAAAAGTACTATAAACTTCCGGGAGTAAAGGAAGAATAATTAAGGGAGACTAATTAGCATCTCGATGTTTGTATTCTTTTTCTCTTGAACTCTTTAAAAGCTGCTTGATTTCTCTAAATCCAAGTGTATAGGTGAAAATTCACTCTATACTAAAAGTTAATACTGGAATTGATTCAATGAATGAATCTTCTCTTTTCAAAATAAAAAAATTTTTTTTTCTCCATTTTTTTTCGTAATTTTTTCATTACAACGACAATAGACGATATAAAAAAAATTTCGATATTTACTTCAATTAGAAAAGTCGATTTAGAAGTCGAATTATTGACTGTGTATATTTTTTTGCTAGAATTTTTTGGAGTTACAAAACCATTGAGCTGTACATCCCAACGAAGCGTCATCCTTCTACATCCAAACCACCCTGCTCTTTAACCCACCCTCAACTAGACTCTAAATAACGCGTCTGTATATAGCTGCAGTTGCCCTCGACAAGCACTCAAGGTAGCATGTACAGCATGAGGTAATGACAAGTCAAGTACCAAAGCTAAACCAGTTCAAACTTTATATTTTTTTATTGTATCCTGTTTCCTCGCTATAGACCATTCACATTAAATTTAAACTGCAACAAAAAACTGAATTTTACGGTTTTCTTTTCAAGTATTTTTCTTCAATATAGTCGATGACGAATATTATTGACAATCCGTAAAATTGAGGAGCTCAAATATAATTGTGAAAAATTGTGTACTATTCCGTATCTTCACTTTCGTTTTCACTTTCCTTTTCACTTTCACTTTCACTTTCACTTTCACTTTCACTTTCACTTTTGCTTCAATTTTACTTTACTTTTGCTTTTACTTTCACTGAAAGGAAAATAAAGTTAAAAGAATTTGCAGTGAAAGTGAAAGCGAAAGTAAAAAGGATTTTGAAGTGGAAGTGAAAGTGAAATTCACTATTTGAGGCTTTAATTACTCTAAAAGATCTGAGAAGATCCAAAGGCCAACACATACTTTTAAGATTAAAGCAGTTCAATACCTAGAATTTGGTGATATAAGTGCATTGAAGGGGAACGCTCCAAGTTTATTGCGGTTTTCCTCGACGTAGTGGTTGGTAAGCACACACGAGGAATGGTTGGTACGCTTGAGAGAGATATTATTATCTGTCCTGAAACAGAGGTACATTTTGCCCTCGGCTATAGGAACGATTCGGTTCATGTTGGACGACAAACACATAAATTTGAACTTCATTTTCAAGGCTTTTGGTTGAAAAATCGAAGACCTCTGCTCCCGTATTAACTTCCACTATTCGTAAACATCCGTTTTCACTAAATTTACTAAATTGAGCATAGCAATAAAATCAAATAATTTTTAGAATTTTTCATAGTTTTTTTTTTTTTTTTAAATTTAATGTAAATTAAATCGCAATAGTTTAAGAATATAGTTGTCAGAGTTAAAATCATCTATATACACATAGTTCTTATAACAAAAGCCGATAAAATTGTCATTGTTCTTTGCACGCTTAAATGGATCTGCAGATGTCGCAGTTTCACACTCGACAAGTGAATTTTGATAACCCCCTGAAGATACTACTATGTATGTGCATGAAAAACATTTTTGTGATGAATAGTTTCCCTACCTATTCTTCTTGTCACCAAGAAATGATTTGTCTCGAGTGTACAATTTTTCTGATGAATACTTGTTTCTACCATTGTCTATATTTTTATATATTTTTTTTTTATTCATAAACATTGGTGTATATTAATATTTTTTTTTATATTTAATATTTACATTTAAAATTCATATAATTGGAATTGTAAATTTTTAAATTGTCATATTTGTTCCAGTATAGTATATTAAGGGCAAGTTTTATGTAAATTAAAGTATCAATTGGATTGCAAATTAAAATTGTAATTTAACCAGAAGCGTTTGAATTTCCATTTAATATTCTCTTTTTGGTAATGCGCTTTTTACAATACAGAGAGAGATACAATTTTCAGTCTCGACTTTAACAATGAAATAAAAATCCGGTTTATATGATATAAATCTAAATTAATATTATTCATTTTAATAAAAATATTCAACTATAAAATAAAATTTAACAAAGTCATGAATTCATTTTATTTTATATTCAAACTTTTTTTTTTTTAAATTGGATTAAAAAACAACGTCTCTGCGAAAAGTTAACCTTTTTCGATTTAATTAAAAAAAAATATGTGTTGAAAGTAATAAAAATTTTCTACTAAAAAAAAAATATTAATAAATAAAATTTATTTTTATTGGAAAATTTTAATTTTATTAGGAAATATTCGTTTTTTTCATATTTGTTGTATTGGATGTTTCAAGTCATGGTACGACTACAAACTGAGGTGGGAGCCAAAGGAGTATGGAGGAGTACACATGTTACACGTACCCTCTGATCACATATGGCGACCTGACATAGTTCTTTACAATAAGTAAGTTAAATTTACGATTTCTCTTATATCTACACATATGACTTTAAATAGTCAATATCTATAATAATTTATATATTTTGTGGCGTAGTGGCAAAGCATGTTGTCGAAAACTCGTAAATCGATTGAACACTCTCTTCAACTATTGAAATTTTCAATATAAATAATAAACCAACACGTCGGTTATTACTTACTATTGAAAAATTTTTCTAATGATTTTTTTCATCTTTAATTAGAAAATAATTTATGATAAAAATTCAGCTATTGAAACTTAGTATTACTATTAATTTAGTATTATTTAGTATATTTATTATAAAAATAATAAACTTTGTATAATTGTAATTTTTTTTAAAATAACTTTTATCAGAATTTTTTTTTTAGTGTAACACTTGTATTTATAGATATTAGTTTTTTTTATATGTAAAGCTAAATAAAAAAAAAAAATATGTCAATTTGTGACAAATTAAAAATAATAGGAGTGTTCATTCGTCATGAGAAAACGAGAAAATATACGTATATTTTTAAGTTAGCCCAGATTCGTACATACGTATAAAATAAAAGAAACAATAAAATAAAAAAAAAAAAAAAAAATGTTCCACTTCCGGTTAAATGATATTTTCGCTCTAAAGTCAGATTGTGATTTAATTTTTCTTAAGAATCCCAGGTAGAAATTTACTATTGGCATTGTATACTGATCCGGTACTGATAATATTGAATTATGTATACGTTGCCGAATATAAACATTTTTACTTGGAATATTTTAAAAAGCTTTTTCTCTAATTTAATCATATTAAAATATAGGCACAAAAATCCGAAATTTAATTCTCTGCATTAATTAATTAAAACTTACAAAACAGGCTTTTTGACTGCTCTTGAAACAATTTTTTCTCCTTCTCTCAGACTATTTCAGCCATGAAATTGCATGTCATAAAAATTACATACTAAGGCCGGTTTTTTTTTAGTCAGTCACAGAAAACAGGACGAGTGAATAAGGGACTGTAAAATAAATTTTTCTCAAATTATTTTTTTTTTTGTAAAAATGTTAAAAAGTCTCATTTTATAATTGCGAAACTACGTTCTCAAAAACTTAAAAAATATCTGTTTATTATAACAAAATTTCGTAATTAAAAATGGTTAAGTGCTTCCGTTTACAACAAAAAGGAGCGCAACTTAAAAAAAATTTCTTTTTTCTTTTCTGCTTTTTGTTTCCTATTTTCTATTTCTATGTTTAGAATAAAATAATATTGAAATATCAAAAATTGAATCATACAATTATGAGACTTCTTATCATATGCGACTGATTAAAAAAACTCCTTCAGTATGTAAAAAGAAAATTAATCGTGGAAAGAAGTAAAAAAAAAAAAGTAAAACAAAATCAAAATTAGCACGTTGTTGAAATGCTCGTTTCAATAATAATTAAAAAGTATTGTCATTTTTTTCCTGCTAATGTTTGTTAATGCAAGTGGTAAGACTGTCTTCAATTTGATTATTACTTCGTTTGTATTTTATCTCTCAATTCATCTAGTTTTGTTTCATGATGTAAATGTTAAAAAAAAAAAAAATTTTCCACATATACATTTACAAAATGATTATATGCTCTTACCTACTGCATATATATAAATGGGCAACTGATCGTGAAAGTAAATTCAAAACAGATTCGCTTGCTAACTTTCATGGTTGAATGGGGTGACAGGTTTATGATGTAGATGGGATAGATTATTATTCATATCGCATGAAGCATGGGGGCTGCGGCGAGTGTACGCGCGAACGTGAACAAGCATTGTCTTTAACATCGTTTATCGTTCTCTGTTACATTCACAAATTTTACTTAAATTTGTGAAAAAAAATCGCCGATTTCAACTTTAAATATCAATATGAGACGCGATCTGAAGAAAGGAAGCCAAAATTTTAGGTTATGTTACGAAACATAACCTGCTTCTTCCCTTTCTTCAGAGCGCGTTAAAAAAAAAAATTTTCTCCTGCTCTTATTTCAATCTTTAATCACGATATAAACGAAATGTGATTAGTAGTCAATTTTTTTTTTTTTTTTTGAACGGGAGGGTAAAAAACGAAAAATTCATCGTCAATGTTCGAAAGAGAATAACCATTGATTGCTCTCTTCCTGTGGCCAATGGTTTGTAATCATTACCAGTAACCACAGCGGGACTTTCAACTGTACAACAACTTCCATTGTATGCAACGTATATAATGTTTGCTTCAAGTCCATACATGCATTGAACGAGTGAAATTCGATAACATTTAAACGATAAATGTCCAAAGCGCGCGGCAATTCTGCCTATCGCACACAATTGTTACCAAAAAAAAATTGCATTATTCTTTCATTTATTATATTATTACGTCTTTTTTTTTTGCAAAAAAAATTTTTTTTTAAATAAATATTTGTCAATTTTATTATCAAGTTTATAGTTTCTAATTCTGTTAGTAGTACAAATCAATATTAGTCAGACAATACATCACAGAAAACTGAGATATTAAGCCACAATTTTGGGGAAAAATTGACTCTCAAAATATTGAATGTAAAATTATTTCGACAGGAATGTCAAGTGAAATAATATAATAAAAAAAATAATAATAATAATACAATAAAACGAAAGAATAGGAGATAGGGTAAAGAAAAAGAAAAACAAATTTCTAAGAAAAGATAAAAAATACATCAAGAAGTCAAACAAAGGAGGTGAGATAAATTTATTTCTTTTTTTTTCGTACATGTAAACAGAACCATTTTTCTTTCTTCCACTAATGTCATGTTCTGACCAATAGTCAAGGAAACTTGAAAATACGAGTTTCGCGAAATATCTCTAGAGATTACACACAGATATATATATATTTTTTTGAGTCATTCCTTGCTGTCTTCCGGTTTTCTAGAACGATATTTTAGAAACGGACAGGAAGGATAATATTCCTAGGTCGTCCTGGAAAGCAGGCTTTTTTTTTTTGTTCTTGAAAGTCCTTTCCTTTTTAGAATTCTACTTTGGTTTCTTTTTCTTTTCTCTTGTGTGTGAAATCCGTTCTCTGTCATTTCTATCGTTGTATATAGCGTTGGCAGCAGCTTCCGTCGCGTCGCCAGGCTAACCTGATTTCTCGCGGTTCCATTAGATCCTCGGGTTCGTTCTTCCTTTTACTCCTAGTTTGCGCATACCACACTCTTATTCTCCCTCTCTCTCTCCCTCTCTCACTCTCTCTTAACCCGCTCTATCCGTTTCAAACCCCCACCCCTCACCCGACAGTGCCACACCAACTCCCTGTCGACCATTCGCCAACAGCACATCCGACTGCGACAAAGGCCACGATTTATTGAACCCACACCCAATGAGACGCGTGACTCAATTGATACTGACCTGGAAATAAAGATATTTCGACATTGTTTGTATTTTTCAAAAAGAGAGAGAGAAAAAATTAAATTCAATTTTTTAATATGGAAAAAGTATTTCCTTCCTTTTTATTAAAGATTAAAGTGAAAATAAAAAGGTACTTCCGAGTTCGATAAAAATAAATTTTTTTTTCCTTAAATTCTTCTCAATTCGAGCTTTATACATTCTTTGGGAATAATAGATTTAGGTTTTTTAAAGTTGATTCGAAAAAGGAAACGAGAGAGTCGTATTCTACTTTTTTTTTATGGGAATTTAAAAGGAAGGAGTAGTTAAATTCTGTCTGACTTAAATTGACCATTACTACTTAAAGGCCGCGCCATTTGAGGTTGAAAATGTGTGCTCTTGTAGTTCTCAACTGGTTCTCGAGATGAATTTCAAACTTTTTTTTTTGTATTTGAAAAATTAATAATAATCTCGATTAATTATTAATAAATAAAATATGTTTGTTTCTTTTGTAAAGGTAATTCTAAATCTAAAAACAAAAATATTGAATTAAAATAATTGAATAAAACTTTTTTTTATATTATTCTTTTATTTCAATTCTAAATCATATGATGTGACAGTAGTAAATTTTATTGGTATTGATATAGCAAATATATCAAACTACATATGTGAGTAGGAGAAAATCAATAAATTCATTGATTGTTGCATGATTTCCGCCTGTGGTTAACTTTGTTGAATTATCAATGTACCTCCTTATCAGGAATCTATTTACTTTCAAAATCCTTTTGTTTCAAGTATCTAATTAGTATCAACTCTCAAAACTTAATGCTATTTAATCAAATTGTTAATTAATAAATTCTAATTTATTTTAATTTCACAGAAAATTAAAAGGCATTAAAATAAGCTGCAACGCTTATTATTTTAATCAATTTTTTGCTTATTTTAATCCATTTTGGTATTAAAATAAGCAAAATTGGATTAAAATAATAAGCGTTGCAGCTTATTTTAATGCCTTTTAATTTTCTGTGGCTCTTAATTAAAGAATTTTTTTTCTATAAATCTAAACTTGATAATCCCAGGTGAAAAAATTAACGTTACTAACGTTACTAATGTTACTAACATTACTAATGTTACTAAAGTTAGTACCTATAAAAAAATAAAGAGTTTCTAAAATATATTTTCACAGAAACTTTGACACTACTTTCCCATTATCACTTTCACTTCCACTTAAACTTTTTATAATTTTCATTCCCATTTTCACTTATACTTTTTCTAATTCTCATTCGCACTTCCATTCTCACTTCTACTCTTTCTAATTCTCATTCCGATTTCACTTCCACTTTTTCTAATTTTCATTCCCATTCCTATTTCCACTTCCAGTTTTTTATATTCATTGCCTCTATCACTTTTTCTAATTCTCATTCCCACTTTCACTTCCATTTCCACTTGTTCCAATTTTCATTCCCATTTTCACTTCCACTTTTTTATATTCATTGCCACTTTAACTTTTTCTAATTGTAATTAAAAAAAGTGAAAATGGTTGTGTAAATGGAAATTAGAAAGAGTTTTAGTCGAAATGGCAACAGCTAATGAAAATTAGAAGTGGAAAAAATGGGAGTAGAAGTGGGAATGAAAATTAGAAAAAGTGGAAGTGGAAGTGGTAATGAAAATAAAAAAGTGAAAACGGAAATGAAAATTAGAAAAGTGAAAGTAGAAATGAGAATTAGAAAAAGTAGAAGTGGGAATGGAAGTGCGAATGAGAATTAGAAAAAGTGGAAGTGGTAATGTAAATAAAAAAGTGAAAGTGAAAATGGGAATGAGAATTATAAAAAGTGGAAGTGAAAATGGGAATGAGAATTAGAAAAAGTGAAAGTGGAAACGGTAATGAAAATAAAAAAGTGGAAGTGATAATAGAAATGAAAATTATAAAAAGTGCATTATTAAACATTAAATACTTCCTGGTGGTCGATTTTCGACAAGTTTCTGCAAAAATACAATTTAGAAACATTTTCTTAATTTTTTTATAGATACTAATGTTAGTAACATTAGTAACGTTAGTAATATTAATAACGTTAGTAATGTTAATTTTTCTACCTGGGATTTTATACAAAAAGTTTATCGAACAATATTTTTTAAAAAAATGTAAAATATTTATGGGCCGAATATAAAAAATAAATAGAATATGATTAAAAAAAAATATATATTTAGAAGAAAAATAAGGAAAATATAAAAATTACGTAATTGACTCTCTTTGGTTTTCAACTGCAGTAAATTTGAAACCGAAAGAAATAAATCCATATAGAATCGAAAACTGTAACTACTGATACAGCGAAAGCTTCAAATATAAATTTGTTTGTTCCTTTCTCTTTCTATCTCGTTTGTTATCTGATTCACTAAAATGAACGATTTGAAATTAAAAAATAGGTATTCCACTTCTTTTTTTTTTTTCAATGTTTTATTGCTGGAAAAATGGTGTCATAAGTATTTCGTTTGCGGAAATCACATCTGCGCTAAAAGCGGAAGCTTTAGGTATAGGACAGGCTGTGAACTAAAAGAAAGTGACATGAAGAGAGCATCGGCACACTATTCGAGTAATAATTTATCACTCCCCGTGGCGCGCGTGGTACTTGTAACTGGGTCAGATAAATTCTGAAAGCTTGCAGGGATGCTGTGTAGAGAGGAAAACTTTTTTGGTACCAAAAACATGTTTATGCGTGTTGATGTTCAAGGCATCGTATAATCCTCGTTATATACATTATTTCAAATCTATTATTTAATTTTGCAAAGTAATTATTTTTTTTCCATATGAAATTACGTAAATTTTTTAATAAGAATACTTTTTTTTTTATTAATATTTCTATTAATATATTTCTCTCAATTAAGTATGATTAGATAAAAATTTACAAAAAATAAAAGCTGAATTTTTATATTTTTTGATAAAAGCCAAAATTGTCTGCATAAACAAGTTTAGTGATAAGCCAGAAAAGCATCCATCAGAATCACTAGCTAGAAACAACTTTATACGATTACTGAATTATGAAGTATAATGAAATGTCCGAAATATATTTGCATGGAAATCTATTCGTGAAACTTTACTCGCATTAGTCTGATGCAAGTGCAGAGATGGTTATTTATGTTTGTTTTTCTCTATTATATATATATTTATATATGAATTATTCACACTCTACTCTCTAAATATCCGAATTAGCGAAAACTCATCCATTAATTCAAATTAGTACAATTTGCATTAATTTTTTTGGTATACAATTTTACTATTTGATATACTTATAGTAAATTTTTTTTAATGTTTTTGTTAAGTAGAATCGATTCTTTTTAATTTATAAATAAAATAAATGTTAAAAAAAATTATTAGAAATTATTTCATAAAAATTCAACTTGAAATTGAAAATAATATAAATTTTATAACGTCTTTGAAAACTTGACACAAGTTTAATACCTTCTCACATGTTGGCAATGTGCATTGTTTTACCGAACAGTGCTTTTACTACTTGAATCTTATCTCGCATAGCCGACCAAAACCTTCTGCATCCGCACTTTCGCCGAGGGAAATGAATCGTTAACTGGAAAGGTCGTCTATATTATCAAACATAGGGTTTAAATTCATAATTTTCTTTTTTCTTTTTTACTTTTATATAATTTTTCACTTCCCTTTTTTTAAGTAAATTGTTATTTCTGTGATCGTCAACTGTCAGAATAATTCGGATTATTTTTTTTTATCCTAATATAAAACTGACTATTAGTAGATCCTAAAAACGTAAATCTAAAACATCCTTTTAACCGTAGTAAGAAGACTATTTGTTTTTCCTGTTTTCTCAAGTTATCCCAGAGGACTTGGAAAAAAAGCCCTTGTTTCTCGACATTTTTCTAATTTCTCATTTCCCTCAGGAGTTACGGAAATCTATTACTTGTCTTGTGGTTTTTTTCCAAGTCTCACAAGGAGCTCGAAAAAATCTTTCATCATACTTATGTATAGTCTAACTTAAATATTTCTTACTATTTTTTTTGAAAAATATTAATATTTTAATGTGGATTAAAATCGACCTTTTTATATTCGAACGTATATATATATATATGTATATATTAAATCTCAAGATTAAATATAATATTCTATGTTAAGATGATTTTAGTGACATAAGCAAATTACACAAGTCGTTAGTTTCCATAATCATCAAGGGAATCTGTCACAGTACCTCTGTCGAGACATGCAATTGTCTCAGCACTATATGTGAAATATCCAATAACATTTATGTCTGTTATTATTCTTATTATTATTGCTATTATTATTATTATTTTATTATTACATGAGTCTCAGCTATTATTATTTTGAAAATTTTCAAATCTTTTTGACTTTTCAAAAAAATATACATTTCTAAAAGATGTTCACCCACAAAAGTAAATAGCACTATATATACGCTCTCAAGAAGTATCTCATTAGACATAAAAATCGTATTATTTAATACGGGACATAAAACTAAATGCTTTAGTATAAAAATCGTAAAGCGCATTCCCATCTCATTGTAAATTTTATTGCGAATGTTTTATGGATTCATGAAGCATAAACTTAAAAAAATTATTCGGACAATTTTATACCTGAATAATTTTTGATTATTATAAAAAAAAATATTTTCTGTATGTTCTACTTATAGGCGTATTTCACATAACGTATATTTTAAGTGTTAGTTATCCATGTATTGGAAAATGTAATTTTTTTGTGAAAAGTGAGAAAAATAAAATTTTGCAAAAGCAAATTTTTTAAAGTTTGCAGAATTTGCGAAAACGATGAGATATTCTCATATATTCAGATTTATCGCTCGATCTTGGAAAAACATTTTTTTTCCATTTTGTGAATAAAATTTTTTTTGGATAAAAATACTTAAATTTAGTTTGTTGCACATGCAGTGAAAAAAATTTAATTTTAAAAATCGGTTACGTAGGATTTATTAAATGATATTTGTTTCAAATGCAGAAATTATTGTTTCAAATACAGGTTATTTAATTTAAATAAAAATTATTTAGTTCATTTAATTTACTTGATAATAGTAAAGTAAACAATTATTTGAATCAAATAAATTCTTCAGTGCACAACATAATGGATTTGCATAATCCGATATCTAAAATTGACTCTATTTTATAATATTGATATGTGGAATGAGTTTAAAGTAAATATATATCATATCTTGTTTTGTGTCCATTGATCCCAAGAGGCTTGATTCAGTAAACTATATGGTTAACTCATTTACATTAATTCCGTATAGAGTGCTCCAGAACATATAAACAACGATAATCAGAGTTACCAACAATTATAATTACAGAATATGTAATATGAACTAAATGCATTTGTCTATATAAGAAGATAGAAATGATTAGAATTCAAAAATTCATTTTCTTTTAATTAATAAATTTAAATAATTATTTTCCAAAATTAAATATTTGAATTTTTTAAATGCAAACATATTATTTGAATATTATAAATGCAAACATATTATTTGAATTTTGTAAATAAAAACATATTATTTCAATTTTGTAAATAGAACCGTATTAATTTAGTTTAATTTTGTAAATAGAAACATTAATTTATTTGAGTTGCTTTTCAACTATATAGAAACAAAAGATTTCCCTTAACGAAGTACCAGTTAGCATAATATTGAAATATTTACTTTCTTAAATACAAATGAAACAAGACGAAAACTTCATGTTGAACTTTATTCAGATTTAGTCGTTTTAATTAAGCATCTCGTCTCACAGAAAAGTATTTAGTGTAGAACAAAGCTGCACGAGTTGAGCACAAAGAGGAGACACTTGTAATGGCCAAGTAAAGGAAATTGAAATACTGACAGAGAAAGCTCGCTTCTCAAAAAGCTTTGGAACATTAATGAAATTAAATACAATAAAAAATTGACATTCATTAAAAATATTCTGCAATTTAATGTTGAAAAATAAAATAGACAAGTGAATATACTCCAATATTAATACACAGGACAGTGCGGTTTGTGTTATTTAAATGAAATGTCAATCTTTTTAATATATAGATTTTCTCCGAGTAGTCTATATAAAGCTGAAATATAAAATTGTCAATGAACAGATATTAATTATAGGTTTAAAATGCAATTGACATAGATTCTTTAATTTTATTTTTTATATAAGAGTTATTTTACTGAAAGTTTATGTAAAATATTTTTTAATAGTTTTGAAAATTATTAAATTACACTTTTAAATGATTTTTAAAATTGTGAAAGATTTTTTTTTATCAAATTTTATATGTATTTTCATTAAAAAATAATTCAAAAGTATTTTATATTTATAATATTATATAATAGTATAAGTAAATCTATAGTCATACTTTCTAAACAACTGTTTAATTTTTCAGTAGTACGAATAAATATTTAGGCAGCCTTTCATTATTTTAGAATTTATTTAGTAATATGAGTAGTATAGTAAATATCTAATCAGACATTTTAAACATTTTATAATTTTTCATAGTATAAGTTAATCTTTAGTCAGACATTTGAAACATTTTATAACTTTTCAGTGGTATAAGTAAATCTCTAGTCAGACATTTTAAACATTTTTATAATTTTTTAGTAGTACAAGTTGTTTGAACATAAAAAAATAATAGGTACATGCTGTTTAATTTTATTTGTCATTGTAAGGGATTTCTTCATTTTCCAGGAAAACATTCTATCTAAAAAAACAGAATAAAATTGATTGTTATTATTCTCTTGCAATTTAGGTTCAATTGGTAGGGTTTTTTGAAGGTCATATGTGTTGTTTGAAGGTTAAAAAATAATAGGGATATGCTGTTTAATTTTATTTGACATTGTAAGGGATTTTTTCATTTTCCAGGAAAACATTCTATCTAAAAGAATAAAATAAAATTGATTGTTCTTATTCTCTTGCAATTTAGGTTCAATTAGTAGGGTTTTTTGATGGTAATATGTGTTGTTTGAAGGTTAAAAAATAATAGGGACATGCTGTTTAATTTTATTTGTCATTGTAAGGGATTTCTTCATTTTCCAGGAAAACATTCTATCTAAAAAAATGGAATAAAATTGATTGTTTATATTTTCTTGCAAATTAGGTTCAATTGGTAGGTTTTTTTTTAAGGTAATATGTGTTGTTTGAAGGTTAAAAAATAATAGGGATATGCTGTTTAATTTTATTTGACTTTGTAAGGGATTTTTTCATTTTCCAGGAAAACATTCTATCTAAAAAAATGGAATAAAAATGATTGTTTTTATTCTCTTGCAATTTAGGTTCAATTGGTAGGTTTTTTTGAAGGTCATATGTGTTGTTTGAAGGTTAAAAAATAATAGGGATATGCTGTTTAATTTTATTTGACATTGTAAGGGATTTTTTCATTTTCCAGGAAAACATTCTATCTAAAAGAACAGAATAAAATTGATTGTTCTTATTCTCTTGCAATTTAGGTTCAATTGGTAGGTTTTTTTTTAAGGTAATATGTGTTGTTTTAAGGTAGAAAAAAAATAGAAACATGCTGATTAACCTTATTTGACTTTGAAAGGGATTTTTTTATTTTCCAGGAAAACATTCTATCTAAAAAAATGGAATAAAATTGATTGTTTTTATTTTCTTTCAATTTAGGTTCAATTGGTAGGGTTTTTGAAGGTAATATGTAATGTTTTAAGGTAAAAAAAATAATGCAGACTTACTGTTTAATTTTATTTGACTTTGTAAGGGATTTTTTCATTTTCCAGGAAAACATTCTATCTAAAAAAATGGAATAAAATTGATTGTTCTTATTCTCTTGGAATTTAGGTTCAATTAGTAGGGTTTTTTGAAGGTAATATGTGTTGTTTGAAGGTTAAAAAATAATAGGGATATGCTGTTTAATTTTATTTGACATTGTAAGGGATTTTTTCATTTTCTAGGAAAACATTCTATCTAAAAAAATGGAATAAAATTGATTGTTTTTATTTTCTTACAATTTAGGTTCAATTAGTAGGGTTTTTTGAAGGTAATATGTGTTGTTTAAAGGTTAAAAAATAATAGGGACATGCTGTTTAATTTTATTTGTTATTGTAAGGGATTTCTTCATTTTCCAGGAAAACATTCTATTTAAAAAAACAGAATAAAATTGATTGTTATTATTCTCTTGCAATTTAGGTTCAATTGGTAGGGTTTTTTGAAGGTCATATGTGTTGTTTGAAGGTTAAAAAATAATAGGGATATGCTGTTTAATTTTATTTGACATTGTAAGGGATTTTTTCATTTTCCAGGAAAACATTCTATCTAAAAAAATGGAATAAAATCGATTGTTTTTATTCTCTTGCAATTTAGGTTCAATTAGTAGGGTTTTTTGAAGGTAATATGTGTTGTTTGAAGGTTAAAAAATAATAGGGACATGCTGTTTAATTTTATTTGTCATTGTAAGGGATTTCTTCATTTTCCAGGAAAACATTCTATCTAAAAGAACAGAATAAAATTGATTGTTCTTATTCTCTTGCAATTTAGGTTCAATTAGTAGGGTTTTTTGAAGGTAATATGTGTTGTTTGAAGGGTAAAAAATAATTGGGTCATGCTGTTTAATTTTATTTGTCATTGTAAGGGATTTCTTCATTTTCCAGGAAAACATTCTATCTAAAAGAACAGAATAAAATTGATTGTTCTTATTCTCTTGCAATTTAGGTTCAAATGGTAGGGTTTTTTGAAGGTCATATGTGTTGTTTGAAGGTTAAAAAATAATAGGGATATGCTGTTTAATTTTATTTGACTTTGTAAGGGATTTTTTCATTTTCCAGGAAAACATTCTATCTAAAAAAATGGAATAAAATTGATTGTTCTTATTCTCTTGCAATTTAGGTTCAATTGGTTGGGTTTTTTGAAGGTCATATGTGATGATTTAAGGTAAAAAAATAATAGAGACATGCTGTTTAATTTTATTAGACTTTGTAAGGGATTTTTTCATTTTCCAGGAAAACATTCTATCTAAAAGAACAGAATAAAATTGATTGTTATTATTCTCTTTCAATTTAGGTTCAATTAGTAGGGTTTTTTGAAGGTAATATGTGTTGTTTGAAGGGTAAAAAATAATTGGGTCATGCTGTTTAATTTTATTTGTCATTGTAAGGGATTTCTTCATTTTCCAGGAAAACATTCTATCTAAAAGAACAGAATAAAATTGATTGTTATTATTCTCTTTCAATTTAGGTTCAATTGGTAGGGTTTTTTGAAGGTCATATGTGATGTTTTAAGGTAAAGAAATAATGGAGTCATGCTGTTTAATTACTTTTTTCATTTTTGACAAAGTTGTGTAATTGTGTTTTTAAATTTCGGAATTGGTTTCTTAAAATTTTTTTTAGAATATAGAATGGAACATGCAATTTATTTTTATTAGTTTGTTAATAAAAGAATTCGAAAGTTCTTTATTATAGTCTTCAAACTCGCACACCTTAGTTAACTTGTTAACGACAATTAAGTCGAGTCATTAGATCCTCGAAGCATTGGAGCTTGATTACGTTCCAATAGCAGGTTGGTCCAGGCCTTAATTAACACAATGAGCTCTATTAAACAAGCCACTTTTTAACCACCTGTTAGTGACAATTCTTATGAAATCAATAATGATTCTTAAAAAAAGTTTTTAGAGAATCGAATTACAATTTTTAAAGGTCCCCATTAATGAAATAATTGTCAGACTAATTCTATGTATTTTATATATATATATATATATATACAATATTAATAATAATATTTATAATAATATAAAATAAATTGTAAATTTTTCTTATTTTTCAATTTTATTTTAAAAATAAATGCAAGCGAAATACGAAACTATCGATAACTTCACTTTGTTGGACAAACACATTGGAAAAATAAAAACAACATGACACTTTAATAATATTAACCTGTAATTAATTAAGTTTTGTTATCAATTTATTACAGTTCCGAAACTCGAGTAAATTTAAGTTTCACTGATATTGTGAAAAATAGAAAGCAAAACTATTTCCAAGGAAATCGATTACTTCTTCTTCTTCTTTTTTTTTTGAAGAGTTATTCAGTCGTGTTTATTGTGGCAGAAGAGTCACTGAGAAAACGTTGACGAACAAGATGAACAGTGAATCGTGAAATGCAGGAAAGCTGACATTGCCTTTTCGTCGATCTTTAGCTCCATTCTCAAGACTGATTCCACCGCATTTATATTTTCTGCCTTCAAGTGGAAACTTGTGGAAAAGTGCTTTCCGTTTGACATTTGGAATCTATACAAGGAAAAAAAAAAATGTGCAGCACAGACGCTTTAGAAATTCGGAGTAACGTAAAACTTTCTCAACACCTTGAATCTTCCAAATACAATGACACTCTTACAACTCGAATCAATCAAGTGCGAGAGACGTTAGGATATTTGCGCGAAGCACTTCAAGCTGAGAGATTAAATTTACGTCGAGATATCCAATTAACCTCCTGGACCATTTGTCGTGACGAGGAATTTTCCATTTCAGAAGGTTCTGTAAAAAATAATTTTTTTTTTAATATTTGCTAATTAATAACAAATTACTTTTAGATTTTGATAAAAACGTAAATTTTCAAGAATTTGACTATTATGGCGCTGGAGAATGTAATTGTTCTTTTCCATATTTGGTAATAAAAAGAAATATTGAAAAAAAGAAAAAAAAATTAAAACTATTTGAATAGATATAAGATATTTTTTTTTTTTATAAATTACCATATTTCACTCTTTTTCAAATCCTTATTCGTATTCAGAATACACAAACATCGAATTCCACCTCATGCTTGAAAATCTCGGAAGAAATACAAGTGGATCCGTTCGACCTGAATATTTTCTGGACAACATCGACGTCTACTTCAAATTACTACAAACAAAAAATCTTTGATTTAGAAGCTGACTGTCGCGCTGGTCTCAATAAGATTAAATCGAAATTCATGGCGTCTTTACAGTCTTTTAAAGATGCTTTCGAACCGAATGAAATCCACTGTGACCAAAAAGAATCTGAAAATAAACTCGAAGAAAGAATCGTGAAAACGCCTCAAGAAGATTTAGAAAGAGATGCAGAAGATATAACATGCCCCTATAATCCGGTCGCTCATACAAAGTATATCCTTTGATTTTTTTTCCACTTTATATATATATAGTAGTATTTATTTCTCATTTAAATTTTTTACTTTCTTTATATATTTTTTAAAGTTTGAGATTCTTTTTCGTAAAACAAATATTTTTAAAAATCATTTTTTATATATAATTTATTATGTGTTAAAAAAGGAAAACGAAAAAAAATTGTTGAACATTTAGAAATAATTTTATAAAATGGAAAAGAAAAACTTGCTTTGTTACAAAAAAATTCAATAAAATCTAGTTTTCATTGTAGAGAACTCTTGTCAAAAGAAAATTTAAAAATAAATAAAAGTAAAAAGGGAGTTTAATTCTTTTTTTTTTTTTGAACTTTTTTTGCACGATTCATCAGCAAGCGCTATTAATTTTAACAGATCTCTCATCGTGAACAATGTTCAGAATAGCCCGACGAGAAATGTCTGCAGTGGACGTAACAGTGATAGCAATATCTGCGGTGTAATTTTCAGAAGCACTCAACTCCAACATGAACCAACTCAAATTTTCGCTTTAGAGGATAGTATCAGCGTTTCTACGATGTCGACGCTTTTGGAATCGTCGGACCTGAGTACATCACAAGCAAATCTGGATTAGTAAATCTATGCATTTCCTATAACACGCATGATAAACTTCCTTTTGACGAATAATAATTATGTAAATTACTCGTTCAGTGGATCTATTCGTCATTAAAGTACACATTCAGCTTTCCCAAAACCATCGAAAGGTATACATATACTATATATATGGGTGTTATTAACTTTGAAGCTCACAAAAGCCCTCCGACTAAGGCAATAAATTTTATAGAGAAACGATTAATCTGACTTTTGGATACTAAATTCCAATCTTATCCTTTATCGATTCCTCCACGCATTGTAAGTCAAATTAATTCAGAATAAAAAGCTATTTTGAATTTTAAACTCTACTTTTCGCACCCATTTTTTTTTTATAAATATTTCATTTTAGCTGCAAATGAAACTTTTTTATCAAATCTTTTTTTTACTGTTGGTATTTTAGTTATTTTCTTTCTATTCTGTTTTTGTAAATAACTAAACGAAAAATCAGTTTTTTTTTTAATAGCAGACTTGCTTGAATTTTTTTTTTTTAATTTTTTATACATAGTAATTGTAATCGTTCTTATTTGACACATCAAGTTCTTTAAAGTGAAGTAGATTTTGGTGGCTTTTATAATTCTTATAGAGTGAATTTTATACTGAAAGTATCATCAGGCACAGACATGAAATTTTTCGCCGCATTGTGTAGTGTGAAGTGTGCACTCTGCAAAGTCAGCTTTTCTTTTAACTTCATCTCTCTTTCGAGAAGCTCTTTTCCCTTTTTGTGCACTCTTTTCTCCCTTCAAGATACCCTTGTCTCTCTCTCTCTCTCTCTTTCTGTCTTTTTCTCTCTCACTCTTCAACTAAACTCTTCAAGGAAAATGGTCAGGCATCAAAAGATAATTACACTGCAGGCAAAAAAAAAAAAAAAAAAAAACTGAAAAAAACAATACAAATAATCACCTTTACAAATTCCTTATCCTTATCCTCGTCAAAATAAGTAAATCCCTTTTATCTAACTCGATTAAGATCTTTTAATGGGTTCAACTTAAGTAAAGAAAGTTATTTCTCTGAGACGAAAAGTCAATTACAAAGATCTTTAATTACAAAGTATCTTCAAGTTTCTTTATCTTCAGTCTTTTCTTAACTTGCTATTTAACTTGAGCTAATAGAATTAGCTGCTAATAGAATTACTGAATAAATTCATGAGAATTTAAACGAAGAGATGCGCAAAAGGGTCTTTTATACTTTTCAAACGTATGTGATTATTAAATTTAGATTCATGTAATTATTCTAGAAACTGATCATTTACTCACTTCAAAACGAATAATTTTTATCTGAATTTATAAAAAAATGTATTTAAACCAATTTTAAACTTTTTAAACATTTGTTTAATTTTATCAGTAGTATAAGAAAATTTCTAGTCAGACTTTATTAACATTTTAAAAAATTTTAGTAGTACGAGTAAATATTTAGTCAGGCTTTCTCTATTTGTAATTTTATTTAGTATATAGTGTAAGTAAATATTTAGTCAGACTTTTTAAAAATTCATACACTTAATTTTTTCAGTACTATAAGTAAATAATAAGTCACACTTTCTAAACATGTGTATAAATTTTCAGTAGTGGGAGTATTTAAACAAACTTTTTAACAGTTTGTAAAAGTTTGGCAGTAGTATAAGTAACCTTGACTTGACCTTCAAATAACCATGAATGACCATCAAATGACATTGAATGACCTTGACATGACCTTGAGTCATATTTTTAAAACAATTCTAAATTTTTTTCAGTGGTTCAAAATAAATATTTAGCCAGACATTCTAAATGTTTGAAATTTTTTCAGTAGTATCACACAGTAGTATTACTCAACAGTAGTACAAGTAAATATTTTGTTAGACACGTTTACAATATTGTCAGTAGTACAAGTAAATATTTAGTTGGACGGGTTTGCAATTTTATTAGTAATACTGGTAAATATTTAGTCAGACATTCTTGATTTGACCTTTAAACGACCTTGAGTGACCTTGGCTTGACCTTCAAATGACCTTGAATAACCTTGACTTGACCTTCAAATGACCTTGACTTGACCTTGACCTTGAGTCATACTTTTAAACCCTTCTAAATTTTTTCAGTGGTTCAAATAAATATTTAGCCAGACATTCTAAATGTTCGAAATTTTCTCAGTAGTATAAATCAGTTGTAGTCAGTCACAATACTTGTTAATTCAAAAAAAAAACCTGTACAAAAAGTAAATCTTTAGTCAGATCTTTCAAACATTTGCATAATTTTATTAGTAGAACAAGAAAACCTTTAGTCAGACTCTCTAAAAATTGTAAAATTTTCTCAGTAGTACAAGTAAATGACCGCAGTCAAACTTATTAGAAATGCGTAGAATTTTGTCATTGTCAGTAGTACAAATAAATAATAAGTCCCACTTTCTAAATATTTGTGTAAATTTTCAGTAGTACAACTAAATATTTAGTCAGCCTTTCATAACTTTTTTTTTAGTGTACATATTTATATTGTTTATTAAAAAAAAATTCAGTAATCGTAAAATTAGAATAAAAAATAAATTTGTTAAATATTAAAAAAAAAAATATTTAAACTTTTAAGTAACACAATTTTTTGTTCCTTTTTTATTTAACCCAAAATACTTTGCACTTTGATGTTTCTTATTTCATCCGACAGCTTCATGTTCTTAAACTTGACGTTCTTCTAAAATAACTTCCATCATATTTTCTGCGAATGAATAGATTACATTAAAAGCTCAAATTCTCTACTGTAAAACAAGTTTATGAATAAAAATGTATTTTAAATTTTTATAAAATAATTTCATAAAACAAAAAATTGCCTCTAAATTGTCTGTCTTGAAAATTAATTTTTGGAGCGAATTAAAACTATTGTTTCACAGGAAAAAAAGAATATATATATATTTTTTTTTAATAAAAATGTCTGACTTGAATCTGAAATCATTGCCATGAACACTGAACACCGCACACGGGTAGAACAGATTTTCTTTAAATCCAGGAAAAGTAGAGGAGAGAATGAGGGTGGCCTCCATAAATCATCTTGGCCGATAGAAAACTTCCTCTGAAGCGCAAAGCAATTTATTTAGCGGATTTCATGGAGACCTCACTCCAAGCATTTTTTTTTTTCCCTCACTTTTCTCATTCTTATTCTCTTCTTTCGAATTTTCAAAGTAACCATACCCTTTTTCCTTAACGAATGTGAGATACTTTTATATATAGAACTTCTTTTATAGAACTATATAGAACCATCCTATATATAGAACTATATAACTATATATAACAGGTACACTGACCTTTTTATATATATATATATATATAACACTGATATCTTTTGGGATTAAAAGAGAAGAAAACTATCGTCGAAAAGTGCCAGAAGGCCTCAAATATCGCCCACCGTTTTCATCAGCGAGCCAAACTTCAATTTCACTTAACCCATACTACACCTTTTCTTGTACCATCAGCCGACACAAATCTTGTTATACTCTCGTCACAATCTTCTCGTGCACCTATTTATTAGACTAGAAAAAAAAATGGAAAAAGGCTACATAGGTTAAAGTTTTACAATTTCTATTTGTACTCCAACTTTATAAGAGTAGAAAACTTCTGTCGTTGCTATAAAAATGGGAAAGGGCGAAAAAAAGTTAATAAAGAACATAAAAAGCTTAAATATCATTTTTTTCGTAAAATTATTTTTCATAAAGTAAAATGGTTCTAAAGATTATTTATTTTTAAGAATATTTATAATGAGGATAATTAATATAATTAAATATAATTATATAAATGTTTTAAACATTTATATAATTTTGGCAGAAACACTATATAGTCCATATTTAGATTTATATTCTACTTTTTGTAATTTCATTAGTAGTACAAGTAAATATGCAGTCAGACTTTCTAAACAATTTATTTAATTTTTCAGTAGTACTGGTAAATATTTAGTCAAACTTATATAAAACATAAAAGTTTGTCTAATTTTTCAGTAGTACGAGTAAATGTTACTCTCTAAATCTGAATTAGTAAAAATATTCACTAATTTCAATTAGTAACTCACTTTTTGCTTCTCAATTAGTAAAATTTTACTAATTATTAGTAACTTTTAACTAATTCTAAAGCAAAAAGTGAGTCACTAATTTAAATTAGTAAACATTTTTACTAATTCAGATTTAGAGAGTAAGTGAGATTTTCCTATTTTCAAGTCTATAAGTAGTATAAGTAAATCTATAGTCAGACTTTTTAAAATATGTATAATTTTGTCACTAGTATAAGTAAATCTATGGTCAGGCTTTATGATCATTTGTTTTAAACATTTGTAAAAAATTTTCAGTAGTGCGAGTAAATATTTAGTCAGACTTTCTTTATTTGTAATTTTATCAGTAGTATAAGTAAATTTCCAATCAGGCTTTTTAAATATTTGTATAATTTCTCAGTAACAGGAGTTTAAGTCACACTTTCTAAATATTTATATAATTTTTCAGTAGTACGAGTAAATATTTAGTCAGGCTTCTTAAAATTTATATAATTTTTATCAGTAGTATAAGTAAATCTTTAGTCAGACATTTTAAACATATGTATAACTTTGTTAGTAGAACAAGGAAACTGTTAGTCAGACTTTCAAATAGTTTGCACAATTTTTTCAGTAGTACAAGTAAATCTTCAGTCAGACTTGCTAGAAGTTTGTATAATTTTTTTTCATAAAGATGCATAAAAAATCAAGTTTATAAAATTTTGGAAAAACAATTCTTCCTACACGAGAAAGAAAAATGTTAATAAATCTTCCAAGGTTCATTTAAAAAAAAAAAAATCTTAGTATATCACATAACAATTTTTTTTTTCTCTTTTTGCAAGAAAATGTATTTTACCAACATTCTCTTGTCCGTAAAATCGACGCCTTCTTCTTTTTCTTAAGACGTGTATTTATTTATAAATTCTCAATAAATCAATGCGTTTAAAATAAAAACTAGGACTTCCCCTTGAGGCAAACGTTGATTTAGCAGGAGGTTGATTGTAAGTTGTCCTATCTTTGTTTCACGTGAAAATATTCATCGCTTATATATATATAGGCGTCAATGGAAATTCACATGCCAGGAAATTGCGATTCCGCATTTGTACTGAGAAATAGTACGATATAGAGAGAACGGAGGATATGCAAATTGCAATGCGCCAAGGGTTGTCGACATCATGCCGTGCATATGAGAAGCTGAGGATGCTTCGATGAGAATCAATTGAAATTGAAATTTTCACTTTTCCCTTTTAACGGACATATGTGCAACTTCCTCTTTTGCCATCACTCTTTTCAGTCCCACAGCAATACATATTCGCAATCGGCGCGTTTATTTACCTTTTTTTTTTCTATCATCAAGTTTCATTCTATATTGGCCGGCCTA